ATATATATATATATATATATATATATATATATATAGCTAGGTTCAAGTATTCTAACTAATTATTGTGTGTATGTATGAATCATTATGGACCAATAAAATAAAATAAAATAAATAAATAAATAAATAAGTGTAATAAAGTAATTTGATAAATAAGTTCCACAAATACTTCCTATAATTATTCAAGTTATTTTGACTTTGACTTAATTTCTTCTCATTCTTATATACAGTTGTTCACTATCAAAAGCCCTATTCCACTATAAAAAAAACTTTCACCGACGACCACCACCATCTCGATTTACAACAACGCCTCACCACTTCCACTTATCCCCATCAACAACCTTCTTCGTACCCAAGATCATTATCGCCATCGTTCATAATCTCGGATTTGCAAATAAAAAAGGGGAAGATTGATTGTTATTTTTGCACAATCGTTAAACCACATAGCTGATACCCATCATCATGCGTTCTCAATAGCCATCACAGCACCAACGATTATTCAACCCTCCAACTATGGAAGAATAGAGGAAGGTCACAGATGGATTCCATCGCCAACAATCTCATCGAATTGACGACTTCTACTGCGCAAGGCAGCAAACAACGACATACACAACGACCACTTTCGTTCTTCATCCTCTGCTACTAACCGGTGGTAGAAAGCAACGACACACTACCAGACTTCGAATCGTGACTGGTTCTTTATAACCGATCCATCCCGACTTCTTGAACCCAATCTTAAAATGCGATTGCTCTACATCCTTCAACATCATCATCTTGCCACTGCAGCTTCATCATCATTTTTTGTAAACTTCGAAAGCCTCTTTACAGAATCCAAATTCTAAAAGCAAATCAATTAGGCTGTTATACGAGTACGCATTCAAAACAAACCCAAGTTTGCTTATTTGGAAGAGTGCAAATGGAGCTTGTCCCTAATTGAAAGAAGGAGAAGACTGTTACTTTGGTTTAGAAGACGGAGCTAACTCCAATATCTTATTTAATCACTTGTCATGTTTTTATAGAGTTTTGGTATCTTATAGGGAGATTATGAGGAAAATTTTTATTTTTCCTGAACCAATAACTTTCTTGCTGCAGGTAGAGACAAGATGATGACAAATGGCAGCACGATCTTTACGAACAACCTGATCGATAAGAATCAAGTATGAATATGATTACTCTTTCAAGGTTCCATAATGATATGCTAATATATGTTTTGATTTGCATTTAAAACTATCTCTAATCACTCTTCTGTCAAGCGTATGAAATTGCCCCTTGTCGTCAAAGTTGCCACAAGTTATCCAAGTATGAATATTTTCCTTCTATATGAGATAATATAAATAATTAGAAAAAGGTATTCAATTTACCGATAAATCTATTAAACATGTTGATGCTTTTTTTAAAAGCATGTCAAATGTGATGCCATTTTCTTGTATTCATGTCGCCTGTCGCTTTTACTTTATGATGTTTAACAGATAAAGGATTTGAACTGTATAGGATTCCATTCCCGTTGTCAAGGGGAAAAAGACAGAGTGAATCGGATTATGTTGTTAAGATTCAATTACAATTGCTAGCTTTCAAGACTTTCTTGGATCTTGTTGGAATTCATTTAAAATGGGAGGATTCAGTTACATAGTGATGTGAAACAACCAGCATGATAATGACTTTGTATTCTTATAGAATAGACTTGTTATTCATTCATAATGAGTTTTTTATTCTGTTCGAATGAATTAACAACAATATTCCCTTAGAATGTATTAGTATTTTACTTTAATTTCAATGCTTTTATTTGCTTTTTAACCGTTCTTATTTTATTCCTTTAAGAATAAATGTAATTGTTAACCACTATTAGTCGTATTCTTTAAGAATAGATGTCATTTATGTTCATAGTTGTATTCTTTTAAGAATTAATTTAGTTACTGATTCTAAAACATTAAAATTCGTTTCATATAAAATTTATATACATTAAAAAATATTAATTTTGATAATGTTTATAGTATTCTATCATAATAGAATCGGGTTTTCAAGATAATATGAATACATTCTTTTAGAACGTCCGAATTAATATAATTATTATTAAGAAAAATCACAACTTTCAAGTTTAGAGAATTAAATTTTCCCTAAAATCTACAATTTTTCTTTTTTAAAATTATGTTATTTGATTAAAATACTCTTACAATGAATTTTGATGGTATTTTTCAATTATCTTTAATTCACTAATATTTATTAATCACTTTCTTAAAATAACTAAAATGATTGGTCTACAATGATTCTTACATCCACACAATAATTAGTTAGAATAAAATAACATAAGTTTTATATATATATATATATATATATATATATATATATATATATATATATATATATATATATATATATATCCATATTCTAATAAAAGAATAGTTTTATTCTCCTTTTGATATGTGTCATCATATTAAGACTCATAATTAATGCATATTTTAATTTTCTTTTGTCATGTGTCACCCTATTATATCTCCTAATTAATGCATACCACTTGTCAACCTATTGATTATCAATTTCAAATTTTAAATTTATCACTCTAACTACATTAAATTAACAATATTGGGATAAAAATTAAAATAAAATTAATACAAATTATAAAGTGATATAATTTTACATATTTATTTAAATCAATAATTATAATTTTATATAACTAAAAAATCTCTTAATTAATAATTTATTTAAAATAAGTGATTAATAATTTTGAGTTTTTTTTACTATTAAAGTTTAATTAATTTTGTAACCATGGTTTCCACGAGTTATAAACTAGTATACTAATAAAAGAGTAGTTGTTTTGTCATGTGTCATCATATTAGGCATCTTAATTAATGTGTTGCCATTTGTCAATATATTAGTTCTCCATTTTAAATTTTTTAAACATCATCATTAATGTGATACTATTTGTCAATGTATTTATTATCTATTTTAAAATTTAAATTTTATATTAATGTTTTCATTAATTCACAAATAAAAAATGTCTAATATATATTAAAAATTAATTTTACATATTTATTTTAATCAACGATTATAATTTCGCATAACTAAAAAAATATCTTTTAAATTAATAATTTATTTAAAATAACTGATTAATAATTTTAAGTTGTTACTATAAAAGTTTAACTAATTTTAAAACCGTGGTTTCCACGGGTTACAAATTAGTGTGTGTGTATATATATATATATATATATATATATATATATATATATATATATATATATATATATATATATATATATATATATATATATATATATATATATATTTGATCTATATTAAATAATTTCTTTAGGTATTGACATTATCTTAGATAAATTTATAGCAATTTTTTTGTCATGTAAGAATTAATATTTAGATCTTATAACTTTTATTGTAACGTATAGTTTTCTACTTTTATTTTTATTAAATAATTTTGTAAACACTTAATAGTGCTCCTATATTTATTTATAAAACTTGCATAAGCACGCATTTTTTTTTGAAATATATACCATTATTATTATTATTATCAATCATTTATAAAAAGTACAATTATTGCTAGTCTCGTACTACATACCTAAATTAATTTGTCAAATATTAACCAATCGCCCGAATAAAAAAAATATCGTGGTCCTACAAAATCGCAATACATATTTCTTTTATATACTTTATGTAATTTATTTCATTTTCTTGCAAAATACATATATTTAAGAAAATAAATATATCGAAAGCATGCTAATAATTTTTTTTATGCTGTTAGAGTATCTTTCATAGTTGAACTATACATAATCTATCTTAATAAATGATTTTTTTTTTAATTTTATTTATTTATTTTTTTGCTATTTATCATACTCTTTTTGATTTTGGTACATATCATTTTATAGTTATTTTTAATTAATGAAATTAAATATCCTTTTAAATTTTATTCTTACCTATCTTACTACCATGTCATAAATGTAGTCATGTGTCACATTTAATGAAATTGATAATATTTTAGTTAAATTTTCCCCATTTAATATTGATATGAGGATAGTAGAAATAAAATATAGGAGAATTTTAAATTTTTCTTTCAATTAAAATTTTTCACCATGACATTTTGTGGTTTTTTCATTTTATCAAAATTCATATAATATTTAAATATAATAATTATAATAAATGTATATTAATTTAATTAATTGACTTTCTTTTTAATTTTAAAATTTCTAAATTAAATATCATTAGTTTCATTTGTTTATTTATCTAAATTATTTGTTTAAATTTAAAAAAGAAAAAGAAAACACATTAATTTTAATAATTCAATATTTTTTTAATTTTCTTATAAATTCAAACTTTTAAATATTTAGAATTTCATATTTAATTTTTTCTTTTAAATAAACTCATGTAATACATAAATTTTAGACCTAATTTAAAATAAATATCACATCATTATTCTTTTAACTTTAACCCAAAATTAAATAGAAACTCCAATTGTTAACTTTTTATATAGTTGTAACTAATTTATACTCAACTATCTAAAATGTTTTATAAAACCCTCATAGTTGTTATAATTTACTATAATTATAGTTATATGTATTTGCTATGGTTTGTATTAAACTTTATTATGATTTTTAATATATAAACGTTTATAATATATAATCTTTTATATAGAAAAATAAAATATATTCAAAACTTTTATATAGCTAAAAGGATAATACGATATATTATTAAAAATAAATATGTCAATGAAAAAACCACAATAATATATTGATCGTTCAATATATATTCAGTTTTCAATAAATAAAACTAAATAAATTATGCACTCTTTCCACCGTTAATATATATATATATATATATATATATATATATATATATATATATATATATATATATATATATATATATATATATATATATGCACTCCAATAGAATTGAGTGATTATTTTTAAAAAGTAAATAGCAGCTCTTATATTGTTGTCGAATAAATAGTTATGT